CTGGACTGCCCTCTTGTCAGGAATGGTGAAGGGTCTCCTGCTTGGCAGGGGGTTGGACTAGATGACCTACAAGGCCCCTTCCAATTCTGTGAATCCGTGAAAGCCGGTGGGATCTCACCTGGCATGCATTTCCCAGAGCTTGCTGCCCATGCGCTGGTCCCATACGCAGACCAGCCCTTCTTCGCCGCCGCTGACCACCTTCCAGTCGTCCATCTGCACCACCGAGACCCCCAACTGATGGCCACAAAGCGAGGCGACAGGCTCACTTCTGCGGAGGTCGTACACCATCACCCTGAGAAAGCAAGACAAGGGACTGTGAATATTTAAGGAGGTGGGAGGGAAGATACCTGCCTGTCCTGCATGCTTAAAAAGGAGGACAATCTACTAGTCCTTAAGAGGAAACCATGTCTGGTGTTTTGGCTCTTGGCCTCAAAACAAGAGAATGCAGATTGCCACTGAATAGGGGTCGTCCTGGACTTACGACCACAACCGAGCCCAGAATTTATGTTGCTATGTGAGAAATTTGGTGAGTTTTGTCCCGTTTTATGACACTTGGCAAGCGACTCACATTTACGACAGCCGAGGTCATGTGATCATCTTTTGCGACCTTCTGGTCAGCCAAATCAACGGGGAAGTTCGGATTCACTTCACCACCTGGTGGCTAACTTACCAAAGGCAGTGATTCACTTAACAACGATGGCAAGGAAAGCCGTGAAACGGAGCAAAATTCACTGCCCCACTTAGCGATGGAAATTGGGAGGGGGGGCTCAACTGTGGTCGTAACCTGAGGACTGCCTGTAGATAGAAAGACTGCAGGGTTAAATCCAGACGCCCTTGTCAAATAAAAGGACTAATAAACCATGAGATAAAACGAAGACCAAGGGAGGTACTAATACCACTCCATAAAGCCTTAGTAAGGCCACACCTAGAGTACTGCATCCAGTTTTGGTCACCACACTATAAAAAAGATGTGGAGACTCTAGAAAGAGGGCAGAGAAGAGCAACCAGGAGGATGAGGGGACTGGAGGCTAAAACCTACAATGAACGGTTGCAGGAACTGGGCATGGCTAGTCTAGGGAAGAGAAGGACCAGGGGAGACAGGATAGCTGTCTTCCAATATTTGAGGGGCTGCCACAGGGAGGAAGGGTTCAAGTTATTTTCCAAAGCACCTAAAGGCAGGAGAAGAAGCAATGAAGGGAAACTAATGAAGGACAGAAATTAAGAAGAAACTTCCTAACAGTGAAGACAAATAACCAGTAGAACAGAAGTTGCCTTCAGAGGTTGTGGGAGCTTCATCACTGGAAGCT